TTTACTGACATCCTGTGTGTGCATGTGTCACTATGTATCGCTACGTTGTATACTGACATCATGCGTGTAAATGTGTCACTATATACAGGTGCATTGTATACTGACATCCTGTGTATACATGTGTCTCTATATATAGCTACGTTGCATACTGACATCCTGTGTATACATGTGTCACTATATATAGCTACACTGTATACTGACATCCTAAGTGAACACGTACCACAATATATAGCTACACTGTATACTGGCATACTTGGTTAGCATGTACCACACTATATAGCTACTTTGTATACTGACATCCTGGGTGTGCATGTACAACTGTATATAGCTACGTTGTTTACTGACATCCTAGCTGTACAGGTGTCACCAGGTATACCTATTTCATACACTGACATCCTTGGCGTGCACGTGTCACTATATATAGCTATGATGTATACTGACATCCAGGGTTTACATACGTCACTAGATATAGCTACATTGTCTACTGACATCCTGGATGTACATGTGTCACTATATATAGTTACGTTGTCTACTGACATCCTGTGTGTACATGTGTCACTATATATAGTTACGTTGTCTACTGACATCCTGTGTGTACATGTGTCACTATATATAGCTACGTTGTATACTGACATCTTGGGTGTGCATGTATGACTATATATAGCTACGTTGTATACTGACATCCTGGGTGTAGGGGCGGTCGGGTAGCCTAGTGGTTAAAGCGTTCGCTCGTCACGCCGAAGACCCGGGTTCGATTCCCGACATGGGTACAATGTGTGAAGCCCATTTCTGGTGTCCCCCGCCGTGTTATTGCTGGAATATTGCTAAAAGCGGCGTAAAACCATACTCACTCACTCCTGGGTGTAAATGTGTCACTTTACATTGCTACGTTGTATACTGACATCCAGGGTGTACATGTGTCACTATATATAGCTACGTTGTATACTTACATCCTGCGTGTACATGTGTCACTATATATATCTACGTTGTATACTGACATCTTGGGTGTACATATATGACTATATATAGCTACGTTGTATACTGACATCCTGGGTGTAGGGGCGGTCGGGTAGCCTAGTGGTTAAAGCGTTAGCTCGTCACGCCGAAGACCCGGGTTCGATTCCCGACATGGGTACAATGTGTGAAGCCCATTTCTGGTGTCCCCCGCCGTGTTATTGCTGGAATATTGCTAAAAGCGGCGTAAAACCATACTCACTCACTCCTGGGTGTAAATGTGTCACTTTACATTGCTACGTTGTATACTGACATCCAGGGTGTACATGTGTCACTATATATAGCTACGTTGTATACTTACATCCTGCGTGTACATGTGTCACTATATATAGCTACGTTGTCTACTGACATCCTGGGTGTAAATGTGTCACTATATATAGCTACGTTGTATACTGACATCATACGTGTACATGTGTCACTATATATATCTACGTTGTATACTGACATCCTGCGTGTACATGTGTCACTATATATATATATAGCTACGTTGTATGCCAACATCCTCGGTGTGCATGTATCACTATATATTGCTACATTTGGTACTTATATCCTGGGTGTACATGTGTCACTATGTATAGCTGCGTTGCATACATACATATTGGATGTACATGTACCATTCTATAGTAACATCATGTGTGTGCATATGTCACTATTTATAGCTACGTTGTATACTGACATTCTGGGTGTGCATGTGTCACAGTGTATAGCTACGTTGTATACTAACAATCTCGGTGTACGAGTATAGCTACGTTGTGTACTGACATTCTGGGTGTGCATGTGTCACAGTGTATAGCTACGTTGTATACTAACAATCTCGGTGTACGAGTATAGCTACGTTGTATACTGACATTCTGGGTGTGCATGTGTCACAGTGTATAGCTACGTTGTATACTAACAATCTCGATGTACGAGTATAGCTACGTTGTATACTGACATTCTGTGTGTGCATGTGTCACTATATATAGCTACGTTGTATACTAACAACCTGGGTGTGCATGTATCACTATATATAACTACGTTGTATACTAACAACCTGGGTGTACATGTGTCACTTTATATAGCTACGCTGTATACTGACATCCTGCGCGTACATGTGTCACTATATATAGCTACGTTGTATACTGACATCCTACGTGTGCATGTGTCACTATATATAGCTACGTTGTCTACTGACATCTTGGGTGTACATGTACCATTATATATAGCTACCTTCTATAGTAACATCCTGGGCTTGCATGTGTCACTGTATATAGCTACGTTGTATACTGATATCCTGTGTGTACATGTACATGTGTCTCTATATATCGCTACATTGTATACTAACATCCTGTGTGTGCATATGTCACTATTTATAGCTACGTTGTATACTGGCATTCTGGGTGTGCATGTATCACTATATATAACTATGTTGTATACTAACAACCTGGATGTGCATGTATCACTATGCATAGCTACATGTATGTGTTTCAGGGGTTTGTTTTTTAAAGCAGTGTTATTCAATTCTTTATTTCTGTACTTGAGGCCAGTAGCCCATGTACAAGCATAATATAATATAATATGACAGCAATAAGATCAGGTCGGTACATGTATAGGGTTTTAAGATATTATGTAATCAGAGTGAGTGAGTGGGTGAGTATGGTTTTATGCCGCTTTTAGCAATATTCCAGCAATATCACGGCGGGGGAAACCAGAAATGGGCTTCACACATTGTACCATGTAAGGAATCGAGCCCGGGTCTTCGGCGTGACGAGCGGACGCTTTAACCACTAGGCTACCCGACCGCCCATGTAATCAGAGATCAGGTTGCTGCATACATAGGATATTAATCACCCTTACAGACTGATTGCTTCCACGGAGGACAGCGCACTGTATTTTATGACATATTAAAAAAGACTTTTACAAACTGGACAAACCATAACAAACTCATCCACGGAATGTTGTCAACTCACGACGATATAAAACAAAGGAAGGATCTATAATGTACAACGCGGGTTCTAACCTAAACTTACATGCCGAGTATAAATCGTACCTTCTACTTAATTGTAGACTACTTAACCACTCTTGTAAACTTATCTCTAACTGTTTGTTAATGTTAAGTTTATATTTCTCACCATACTCTGTACATCACTTGCTTTGTAATGGTGTTGGAATCTTCACCGAAACGATGCTCACATTGCATTGTTGTCATATTGAATTTGTCCATCCATATATCTTAATATCCTTACCTTGTCACTTTGGACGTAGGTTTTCTAGCAACAACACTTGTCATGTTACCGGTAACTAGCCAATATTTTCACAGTAGGTTATAGTGTGTCTATTTTGATGTAATCCGTTACCCTAATCCATATAAAACTGTGGAGAAATATGAGTTCAGTCGTGTACAGGATGACATTTTACGAGAGTTTCGATCAGTTAAAAGTGACATCTTGAGACATCAGAGATAACAAGACAAATACCGGGCCCCGGGATCATAAAATTAATCATAGCTTACATTTTGCTGAGCACGACTTTTGATTTATGTTTTTATTCAGCTAAGATTCGGTCTAAACCTGGATCATAAAATGACCGCAGCAAAATCTTAGTCTCAGTCTGATACCGTCCTCATGGGGACGCGTGCACGTTTAGGCGTTCGACGGTAATCGCGGGAACTCTTCAGTCAAGAGAGATGCGAAAGTCGGATTATTTGTAAACACAGCTGTCGTCTTTTAGAGTTTAGACAAAATATAGACTTAAGTTATTTTCATGATCAAGGATGCTGTAAGAGAAATGCAGTCTCGCATTGAAGAAGAAAAGAATCAACAAAACATACTTCGTTTGTTTGTTGTTTAACGCCACACTAGCAGTATTCCAGCTACATGACGGCGGTCTGTAAATAACCGAGTAGGGACCAGACAATCCCGTGATTGTTGTCATGAGCATCGATCCACGCAATTGGGATACAACATGCATCAACCAAGTAAGCGAGTCTGACCACCCGATGCCATCAGTCGACTCTTACGACAAGTGTAGTCGCCTAGAGCTCTCACGACAAGCATGGATTGCTAAAGACCTAGTCTAACCCGGATCTTCACGGGTCAACATACTTCGTTTGGTCTTGGACGCAATTGCAGATAGACTCGACAGAAATTAGGATGTGGTCTAGGATGTTGATCTACAGGACAATATTGAGCTAATGGTACAACAAACTCGCAAGCATAATATGGTTCTCTACAGTTTAAGGAAAGGGACTAATGGCGCGAGTGAGATGTAGACTATAAAACACATACATGTATTTCTGTTTAAAGTGTGCACCTATTCCATACTTTGGGAGCCAATTGTTGGTTTTCTTTTGGTACGCCTGGGTTAGATCTCAGGAGATTTCCTTGCCTCTGGTCTTCAGCCGAACCAGAAGATTGAAAGCTTCGGAATTTCCAGTAAACTAACCAGGAAACAAAGTTAAAGGAAAGTGTTGCCGGATCCTAAACAGTGTAACACGGGTGGCTACTGTAGGAATGGTAAGCATGTAGTGAGTGAGTGAGTGAGTGAGTTAGGTTTAACGCCGCTTTTAACATTATTCCAGTTATATCGCGGCGTGTCAGCTTAATGTTGGAGGAAAGCCTGAAGTGATGCAGGTCTCAGACGTTTACCACTTCGGTGAAACCCACGAGCGCGGGTATGGTGCTGACAAACCTAAAAACCTAGAAACCTAATCGGGGCGAACCGGGATTCGAACCCACAATCATAGGTTTCTGTCGTGCCCAAAGGACAGCAACTCTGCACAGCGAATGATATAAAATCTCATGTAAAAGGAGCCCTTCTGGAGGTGTTGTTGCGATTATTTAGCGTTTTGAATCCATATTAACTGAGTTTGGTGATGTGTCTATTGTAGAGGGAGATGACTTCAACGCCAAACACCGGTGATGGCTGAAATAAAAACAGCATTGCTGATGTATTGGACTTGAAGACATTGTATTGCTATAAAGAATTCACAAAACAGGACATACAAGAGCAATTTGTAATGCAATTTAAGGACAATTAAAGATGTCTAAATAATCACAATAATGTCAATGAATCAATATGTCTTGAGTGTTATAAAAGATACCTGTTTTCGCAGATCAATGACGTTCTGCTACCTTCTCCCAGACAGCATTAAGGCACTCTGCTTACAACGAATGTTTCATAAGATGTCTGTGTCTGATTTTCCATCAGCTATCAAAGCCTGATTCTGGCGGATAATATCTATCTTGTTCAGTTTTTGAAGTCTGAGTGTCTCTACATTTTGGGTGAAGTATTTTAATACATCGTACTTTTCTGTTATCCATCCTCTCTTGAATGCTGTCTCGGTTAGAAATGAAACCAGAACAATTGCCAGGAAACTGACAGCCATGATGCAAGTTCTGAAGGGAAACAGTTGCCCTTCTGACTCGCTGTAGAGCGGTAATTGGATCAAAACAGGCATTCGTAAAAGATTCTCGCCACAGAGAAGACGTAGACCGATAGAGAGGAAGAAGCCGACTAGACTTCCATAGGTGTTGGAAATCTTCACGAAGAGGACGCAGGTCAGTTGGGGGAAGAGAATGACGTACATGAGGTCACCAGACATGACATAGAGGCCGTAAACTGTGGTGGAGGTAATAGCAAGAACCGTACCAAGGCCTCCCGCTACCACCACTGTTAACCGTAGAACCCATATCAGCTCCTTGTCAGATGCCTGTAAGGTAGCAACAGAAGGGTTAGAGTGTCATGATCATTTTTCGTTTTATAATTCATTATTGCTACAAACTTAGTTTTCTCGAACACACTATTTTCACACTATTTGATAGTGATTCATAAACACATGCTTGTGATATCGTCGGAATCGTATAATGCACAATGGAGATGTTTCTTATGATCATGGAAATGGTTTCGTCGCTTGTATTTTCATGACCCATCCTGATATTCACCTGAGTCCGGAAGAGTCCCTTGTACCAGTTGTTAGCGAAGATGGAAGCAGTGGAGAGAGTGGTGGAGTCGGCAGATGACATGGCAGCAGCAGAGATGGCAGCGAGACCGATGACAGATACGGGGAGTGGACACATGTACTGGAGCACCAGGGGCAGAATATATGGAAGCTGATCAGGGGTCAGAGGTACATCATTCGGGTACGTGGTTTGATTCCAATCTGAAATATTTTTTACATGATTTGTTTTGGTTGTTTGATGTTTAACGCCACACTCAGTAATATTCCAGCCGCACTGTAAATAAACGAGTCGGGATCGACAATCCCGTGACTGACATCAGTGAGCATCTGTCTACGTTGGTTGGTTGGTTTGTTGTTTTACGCCGCACTCAGTAATATTCCAGCTTTATGACGGCGGTCTGTAAATAATCGAGTCAGGACCAGACAGTCCAGTGATTGATATCATGAGAATCGATCCACACAATTGGGATCAATGACATGCTCCAAACAAATCAGCGAGCCTGACCACCCGATCCCGTTAGTCACCTCTTACGGCAAGCAAAGTCGCCTTTCACGGCGAGCATGGGTTTTTGAAGACCTATTCTACCCCGGATCTTCTATCTACGTAATTGGAATACGATGACCTGTATCAACCAAGTCACCGAGCCTAACCACCCGATCCCGTTAGTCGCCTCTTTCGACAAGCATAGGTTGCTGAAGACTTTTTTTTATAAGAATGGTGTTGAGATATTGAAGAGGGCTTAAACAATCTGGATCTAATCTGAAACGAATGAAGACAGAGAACAATATTGTATCACTTAACTAGGGTGTAGTTTTTTCGGTGGGTCGTGCCGAGGTCAGATGGGGAGCGAGCCTCGATTTACAGTTTTGCATCGCCGCGTAAGGTTCATCACATTCGTGACCCACATGTTGTAAGTTCGGTTATCACCCTTGAGGAGGGCGCTAATTAATCAAAACAAAACACGTCATTTTGCAACAGTACATATATGTTTTAGATTAAGTAGAAACCTCGCTTCAAAGCAAGGCCATTTTATTCAGGCTTTATAATGTGGGCCTTTCTTTCCTTGTTTTATCTGAAGGATGATACTGTGCATTAAACCTTGATTATAGAGCCACTGACATTGCCTCCACCACATTGGCTGTGTGGAGAAACACACATTTTTTCACTAAAAGATTTCATCTAAATCTATTGTCGATAAGGAGATCATATTTAACATGATAGAATGTCATTGATATAAACACTCAATCATGTGGGTAAAGCGTTAGCTCGTCACGCCGAAGACCCGGGTTCGATTCCCGACATGGGTACAATGTGTGAAACCCATTTCTGGTGTCCGCCGCCGTGATATTGCTGGAATATTGCTAAAAGCGGCGTAAAACCATACTCACTCACTCACTCACTCATACACGGCGCAAAGCTAATGTTTGTTTTAAATATGCTGAACAGTTAGCATTTGCGCCAACATAAAGTATCCTTCTTTAACATGCAAACTCGTCAACAACTATTGCTTGTTGTAAGAAACAACTGAAAAAATGATTGGTCAGGCTGGGACATTCGAGTGCCTTTGTTCCTTTATGGCGAGGCACGTTGCTAATTAGTTCAGTCACTGGTAAGTCTGACCAAGACGCACTCATATATAATTTGTTTGTTTGTTGTTTAACGCAGCACTCAGCAATATTCCAGCTATATGATGGCGGTCTGTAAATAATCGAGTGTGGACCAGACAATCCAGTGAATGACATCATGAGCATCGATCCACGCTTTCAGGATACGATGAAATGCATCAACCAAGTCAGCGAGCCTGACCACACGATCCCGTTAGTCGCCTCTTACGACAAGCATTGTCGCCTTTACAGACAAGCATGGGTTGCTGAAGACCTATTCTACCCCGAATCTTCACGGGTCAATCATATATAAAGAGATTATTATGTGACATACAAATTTTACGAAACGAGTGTAAGAATTCTTGTACTTCCCGAGCGCTAATACTTGAATTCATACACGAGTTTTGTAAAATCAGTGGGACACACATACGAGGGTAATAATTTCTTTAATATTTCTTAATACATTTAAGCTACCCTTTAGAAAAGTTCACCGATCACGGCCGCCGTCTCCGAAAACCACAATTGTCGAATGACGTCAACTATCATCAGTTATAATGCCGTATCTAGCATACAATCCGACGACGTAACACTGCCGTCGGGATGACGTAAACAATACACTGATGCGCATGAAGTGATATTTGCACCAGTGCACATACGATTTGTATGAGTATGAACTCGGTTATTGCTATCCCTATGGGCAATAAAGGCCGTTATGATATATATACTCACGCCGGATTTATTCATACCATCTAGTACCAGGTTATATAATAAGTTTTGAGTTGAATAAATGTTGAACATTTATTCGCTAGCGCCACATTAAATGTTGTTAACGTTTTTGATGTTCTAATTCATTTGCATGTGTTTTTATAAATATGCTGAGACCTTGTGCTGATACAACCCAAATTTCCTTCGGGATAATACAGTGTTATCTATCTTACCTTATCATGTACATCTGGACTACAGTGTATAACAAGATACAAACTGATACAAATGCATTACGAACCGTGTGCGTATGATCTCCTAACCATCATTATTAATTTAAAGCCAATGTTCATCTTTGTCAGTGTTTGGATAGTTTGGCCTACCTCTTCCCTAAATATGTATCTTCCTTCCAAAACACACATAGTTTGAGCCATGGAGCTCTTTGTTTCGTGATCATCTTTGACTCTATGCTACTGTTCGTGTTTGTCATTGTGTGTGTAGTTCTGACCTGCCGCTGCCCCTGCCACTCCGATGATGGCAGGAGGTACTGCGAACAGCAGACACAAGACGGCGGATATCATCAAGGAGTTCCGAGCAATTTCAGGGGTCCGACAAGCCAACACTCGTTGATAAAAGGGCTGAAACAGAAAGTTAAACACTCGTTGAAAAAAGAACTGGAACAGTACGTTTAACACTCGTTGATAAAAGATCTGGAACAGTACGTTTAACTCACGTTGATAAAAGGGCTGAAACAGTACGTTAAACACACGCTGATTAAAGATCTGGAACAGTACGTTAAATACACGTTGATAAAAGGGCTGAAACAGTACGTTAAACACACGTTGATAAAAGATCTGAAACAGTTCGTTAAACACACGCTGGTAAAAGGGCTGCAACAGTACGTTAAACACACGTTGATAAAAGGTCTGGAACAGTTCGTTAAACACACGCTGATAAAAGGGCTGAAACAGTACGTTAAACACTCGTTGATTAAAGAGCTGGAACAGTACGTTAAACACACGTTGATAAAAGATCTGGAACAGTTCGTTAAACACACGCTGATAAAAGGGCTGAAACAGTACGTTAAACACTCGTTGATTAAAGAGCTGGAACAGTACGTTAAACACACGCTAATAAAAGATCTGGAACAGTACGTTAAACCCACGCTGATAAAAGGGCTGGAACAGTACGTTAAACCCACGCTGATAAAAGGGCTGGAACAGTACGTTAAACACACGCTGTTAAAAGATCTCAAACAGTACGTTAAACACTCGTTGATAAAAGGGCTGAAACAGTACGTTAAACACTCGTTGATAAAAGGGCTGAAACAGTACGTTAAACACACGCTGATAAAAGATCTCAAACAGTACGTTAAACACACGTTGATAAAAGATCTCAAACACTACGTTAAACACACGTTGATAAAAGGGCTGTAACAGTACGTTGAACACACGTTGATAAAAAAGCAGCTGTAAATATGAAAGATATCTGCTACATTGGTTTAGTAACAAAATGACTTATGATACAAATTAAATTGAATTGAAACGTGTTTCAATGATATGTGTTCAATTTGTCAACATCTCTCTTATAAACAACTATTTTACCATGTTCGCGAATATTTTGGTACGCACACGGCATGGCATTATTGTGTGAAGTTAGTTGCTTAGATATATACGAAAGCCTAATCGTGCCACTTTGGTACCATAATTGTATTTTTTTTAAATAAAACTTGAACGTTTTTGAATTAACTTGAAATAACGAGAAAATAATCGAAGTATTAAGTGAGTGAGTATGGTTTTACGCCGCCTTTAGCAATACTCCAGCAATATCACGTCGGGGGACACCAAAAATGGGCTTCACAGTAACATTATACCCATGTGGGGAATCGAACCCGGACCTTCGGCGTGACGAGCAAACGTTTTAACCACTACACAACCAAAACGCCCAAATGATCGAAGTAACGAGAAAAAACTCGAAATTTCGACTAAATAATAGAAAAAACGCGGAAGACTCGCAATTTCGAGTTTTGAAATAACGAGAAAATAATCGAAATGTATAGTAAATAATTGAAATAATGAGAAAATAATCGAAGTAACGAAAGCAAACTCGAAATTTCGAGGTTTTGAAATAAAGTTGAAATAACAAGAAAATAATCTAAATTTCGAGTTTTTGAAATATACTTGAAATAACGACAATACAAGAAACAAACTCGAAATTTAAAGTTTTCAATTAACGAGAAAATAATGGAAATTTGAGGTTTTTGAAACAAATTTGAAATAACGAGAACATAATCGAAGTAACGAGAAAATAATCGAAGTAACGAGAATATAATCTATAGAAATAACGAGAAATTCTGATTTGCAAAAAATATGGTACCAAAGTGGCATCATTAGGCTTTCGCAATTACATGAATTGACAAAGTCGTGACTGCTATTGTTGTGCTATCCTTATCCTTGATTGCTGATTCAGAGGGGGCGGTGTGTTACGAGAAGTATTTTATTTGGATTCGGTTTGAGTGAGACTGACTGAACTAATTTGATAAGGTTATAAAGTATTGCTCTGTTTGTGAAGCATTCGTTACCTGCCACGGTATCCCTCCCATTATGAGCAATCCGTACAGGTCAAGGTAGTTGGCTATATTGTTGACGGGCACCTGTCCTACCCATTTGCTTCCAAGTTCATTCAGGTCCACTGCAGTGTGTTGCAAGGCAAACGGAAACGCAATGACCTGTATAAAGTATCATACATGTATTATACAAATTATGCTCACCAAAATGAAGAAGTGAGGCGAAATGGGGTTTACCGTCGCGTGTGTCCTTGTTTTAAGTCCTTGTTTTATCCCCTTAATGCCGAGTACAAGGCAGGGTAATTAAATATAATTTGATTTAAAACTTTTAAAATTAAAACAAAAATATGTTGGTACAACAGACAGCCATCAATATCCCTCCCAATCCCAACCCCAAACTCATTTATCTCGTAAAGACCTTCGGTGGCAGACAATATTTTCATGGACAGGTTATATAATATCATTGTTTAATTTCTAGAATAGGATACACGGATTGTGCTAATTTGTAAACAATTTCCTGAGATCCATCCTGCAATAGATTACCAGATTTCAACATGTTTGGATACTTCTTCTTACAAATAGTAAGATAACGACGCTTCAGCGTTAGATATTGAGGACACACCATTTGAGAATTGACTTTCACTTTGTGTGAGTTCATTGGAGTATGAACCTTCATAGAGTGAGGGCAAAACGGTTATGAACGTCAAACTCTCTGACATTTTTCAATGTATACTGAAATACCGAGTTCAAGTTTAAATGGTCTAAATGATCAGAAAGAACGCTCCTGTATGTATTCGTGCTAGGGAATTCCCAGGGGTTTCCGCAGGAATGTGGAACTAGTCCGTCAGTGTTTACGTCATTTCAAGAACACGGTCACGTGAAAAAACGTATGAACGTCAAATTGAGCCGTTCATACACTTATGAACGACAATTTCGCGGTCATGTGACCGACCTCTCGTCCAATGGAAAAGCTGTATATCGTGTAAACTTCACATTGAAAAATTAAAACAACATAATTCTCACCTTCTAGGTCATCACTGCAAAAGGGACATGCACGTTTTACCAAGGATACCTTTGGATTTGGCCACATTCCCTTCTTAATCAATCTTTAGAGAATGTGAAACTCAACCGAAAACGTGCTGGAGCTACTTTATAGTTAACTACATCTATTAATGATAAATATCTTTCAATAGATAGAGAATGTTTTAAATCATATATAGCCGTGTTTCACTTGGTGAAATTAACTGGTTTCTCCGCATTTGTGTATGAATATCTGTTACTCTTTGCCTAAATTCACATATGAACCCTGTCTCGTCTAATATTTCCGATGCCAACCATACATGACCATAGCCATACCGATATAATACATCTCTAATCAGGGTAACCAATGTCTTTTGTTCTGGCTTGTGGAACGCATTTTCTAATGTGTATTATATAAAAAAGCTGATGGTGTTGAACTTTTAACACGTAATATTTGCTGAATAAATTTCAGATGTACGCTTTCAACTACTGGGGCTTCCATAAACCCCCATATTTCACAACCATAACCTGGTACAGGTGTTATTAAACATTTGAAAATTTGATATATTGATATTTATGTGCAGGCATAATTCTATACCAGTCAAACGGGGTTGAAATATTATACTACAGTGTTATAACTTGTATTTCAGAAATAATCCTGACCCTTCAGCATTGTGTAATCATGAACGCGTACGTCCGAACTAGTTTAAACTGCACAGATAGAGAAAATGGTCAAATTTACCTTCAACAAAAGGAGCTACCTTCAGAATAGAAATGAACGTAATTAACCTGGTAAGTTAACATTTGTTCTTACAGCATTGATTGAACAAAATGTAAATATTACTTGTTTGTTTGTATGTTGTTTACCGCCGCAATATTCCAGCTATATGATGGCGGTCTGTCAATAATCGAGTCTGAACCAGATAATCCAGTTATTGATATCATGAGCATCGACCCACACACAACTGGGATACGATGACATGCATCATCCTAGTCAGCGAGCCTGACCACCCGACCCTGTTAGTCGCCTCCTACGACAAGCGTTGGTTGCTGAAGACCAATTCTTACCCGGATCTTCCCGGGTCGTAAATATTACTCCAGGACGAGAAAAATGTACGCCTAGCATAAGGTCATACTTTGAGAATAATTCGTTCAATATCCTTACCAGCCCTATCCCAATAAAGGCGAGCTGGACAACATCGGTATAAGCAACGGAACGCAGACCACCCAGGAATGTATAGATGACAGCAATGCAGGCGGATACAACAATAGACGTGGTCTTGTCCAGATCCATGATAATTGACATAGTTGACCCTGGTCATAAAAAAAACTCTGATGAAAATATTTTAGCACTAAACATCTTATTTTAAGGTGTTTATTATGTGATAACTGGCTTATTTTGCATCACCGTTCCCATGGAGTTTTTTTATGCTGTCAATCACTTGTTAGCATAGCAAAAACTCGATTATGTACAGGCCATCGAAAAGTGGCTAGCCGGAATATGACTGACTGTGAGGTGAAGCAACTTCCATTCTCTCATAAAGTAACCATGACATGGACTCAGTGTGGGCAACCTGGAAACTATACCTAGAGCCGAAAGAATTGCTGCCGTCCAGAAGATGTCCCCCACGAATTCAGGGATACACATGAGAGCCCCTGCCTTGGCCCCATATTTCTCCTGGAAGGGATCGTACATTGTAACGTATCCAGCTCGTCGCATCTTTGGACCGTAGAACCATCCGCCTAGGCGAAGAGGGATCAAAGAATTAAAGGACAGTTTTCTGTTAACAAAAAGTGCCATTTGGCCATATTGACGTCATTTTCTATAGATTTAAATGTTGGTATGCGTTTTTTGCTTCCATCAAGTTTGAACTCGTTGAAGAGGTCTATGCGAGTAGGTATAACACAACAACACTTACGGTTTAATGCAGTGTAAAGCCTTCGTCATCTGAACCAGGGAATTTAAACTGGTTAAACGGATTTCTCAGTCGTCTAAAGCGCCGGAATTTGCTGTGCAGACTTGAGTCCCTTAGTGGTGCCAAAAACCTATGCTTGTTGATTTGAATCCCGTTTTTGCCTGATAATGTTTCTGGATGTGTCAGAACCATACTAATGCTCGTGTGTTTCATATAAATTATAGACGCCTTATACCTGCATCACGTTCCTTTTACATCACGGACCGCATCCGTGGTCTAGTGGTAGAGCGTCCGCCCAGGGAGCGGAAGGTCCGGGGTTCGATCCCCGGCCGCATCATACCAAAATACGTAAAAAGATGGTACTTGTTGTGACCTTCTCTGGCGCTCGGCATTAAGGGACTAAAACTGGTCGGCTCGGAGTCAGTAAAGTGTGTCTGAGTGGGGTATTCATGTGGCATGGTATCTCAGTGTGCTGGCACTATAAATCGGCATCAGTCCGCATTAGCACAAGCAGCCACACACACACACACACACACACACACACACACACACGTGCATGCACGTCGCTATGTAGGTGCAATAATCTTGGACGCGACGTTAAACCCCATTTCACCTCACCTTTTACATCATGATGGCATAAGTGAATACTGTTCCAAAATGGCGTTATACCCAACTGAACAGTTTGGGGCTTATTGATTTCATGAATGCTTACATTCCAGTGAATTATTCGGTATAGATTGGGCATAACAGGAAGTCATATTTTGATGGTATTTACGTAGAAACGTCAGAACCAAAGGGATGGGGAGCATTTATCATGTTCGTACATCTGAAGGTTGAAAACATTAAATAGCCTCGGCAAAGAGTTTTGAAGGTTTGTGGAAAATCTTAATTACCAATAAAAAGACCGATGCAGTAGCCAATTGGCGCCTGTGCCCACAGAACTCCGCTGGAGGAGACTATTTCAGCCGTACCGTTTACATAAGCTCCTCCAACGTTGGTTGCTGTAAAACCAACAATATTTTGTAATAAATAAAGTAATACATTGACCTACAAATAGACCTGAACGAATTTACTTATAGGGCTCAAGCATCTTGACGTGACGGTTTCCACATGACAATTACCATGATGGACATTAGACAGTGAAAGTGTGTTGTGAATGTGAATTTCAAATAGGTCACAATATCTCCAGAGCATTTGCTCGAGACACCACTTGCCCCACGACTTAAAGGAATGAAGAGGTGATATCATGAATATACGCACATAGAGAATGTGCCAATAATTAGCAGATTTTTCAGATGAGCGTGTCATAACAAACTATGACTTTGACAAAGTCCGTGTCAATGGAACGATCAGCAGAACTATATTTGCCTCCAGCTATTTGCACTAATTATTTCTGTAGTTGGTTGTCAGTGGTATCAAGTGCTCTCTTTGTGCTGTGAACTGGCTACCTGACGTCACGTCACATTTGCGCGAGATACTACTTGCGTGACCGCTTAAGGTAGTGACGAGGTCATAAAATGTATAGAAGCATATAGTTGAAGAAGAGATGGTGCCAATCCGCAGAACTATATTTGCTTCTACACCTGACCGTCAGTCTCACTCTTCACAATCTATTTCAATAGTTGTTACATACGAGGGCTGGTGGAAATTGTTTTTAAAAAAAGTGAACCAGTCAAAGTAGTCAAAAGACTAACTAACTATATTGATTTGCTTCATCGCCTGAGAGATTCTATCAAAGAAATGCTGACTGCTGGTGTGCTCTTCCTTCATGATAACGCCTCTTCTCACACCTCTCGACTTGCAAGGGCCGCTGTACGACATTGTTGGTTCGAGGAGCTTCCTCAACCTACATACTCACCAGACCTGGCACCAAGTGATTTTTCCACCTGTTTCCTAAACTGAAAGAACACCTTCGTGGAAAGCGTTATGAGGACAATGATTACCTCACAGCTGCCGTGAATGTGTTTTTCAGGATGGCGTCAGGAAATTTCTTCCTGACTGGAATTGAAAAACTTCACTATCGATATGAGAAGTGTATTGAAAATTATGTTGAAAAATATAATAAAAAACACTCTCACAATTGTTGGTTTTCTTTGTTAGACTAAGATCTTTTTGACCAGTCCTCGTATGGTAATAAGGTTATCTTTGTAAACTGGCTGTATGTTTGCCTTGCCGATTTCATACCTGTTAAAGAAAACAAAGATACGAGGAATCCCATCTGTCGATTGGCTAAAAAGATTTCATCTGCGCTTTTTGATTTGGTGGTTCTCCTTCCTGCGTAGATGCCGATGGCGAGGATGAGGATGTAGAAGATTACGACGACAACGATACCAGGTATGTTGACAGCCATGGCGGAGAACCTTCAACGAATAACGGGTAATACTATGCGTTAACAAACATCAACGGTGGAATGTAAAATAAAATTTGTCATGTAGTTACAAAAAATATATCATGAGCATTTTTATTAAAAATGAAATGTAATAAACAGTGTAACGGTGATGCATGACTCACAAGGTAATTTAAGAAGATATTTCAAAATTATTCTCGGTCAGGGACATACAATTCCCCATACTGGAGGGGTGGATTTGGAGGAGGGTAGGTTTTTTTTGTTAGGGATAGAATGTTTTTCGCAATATGTTTTTCCATATCAAAATATAGTTATGATGGAAAAAAATCAATTTGCGTCCATATCATATTACAATAGTTTTCTTGGTTTTGTTGTTTTTCGCTGGACCAGACAACCCATTAATTGATATTACAAGCAATGATCTACAACGCCTGGGTATGACAACCAATCAGTCAAGTTACCCAATCCAGTTTTGTCGCCTCTTAGGTTGCTTGGGATTTATTCTAACCCGAAATCCCAACATTTTATGTCAGAGGCGTCTAACGGGATCGGGTGGTCAGGGTCGCTTAATTGGTTGTTGCATGTAATCGTATTCCAATTGCAAAGATCGGTGCGCATGATGTCAGTCACTTGATTGTCTGGTCCAGACTCGAATATTTACAGACCGCCGTCATATAACTGAAATACTGCTAGTGTGGTCTAAAACAACAAACAAACAAATATTACATTTTTCATGACTGGAACTGAATTCTTGTATTTTGGTACACTTGAAGCAGATTTATGGGCATCACTTTAGTAACATTCAGTAAGCAGTTTACTTTGTGGAAATTATACCTGAGGCAAATATTATTATTTTCAATAGTTGATGGAACAAATACATTTTTAGTCCAGGCCCTCTCGCAGTTGTCGGTTCATCTCCAGTATTTGGCTGCATAAACTGATCTTACTTTTCAGTTTTAAACTGCATTAAGCACACATACACAGGCCTATCTTTGTCTCACATGGATCGATCGTGCGTTCTACTTCCAAATTATTGAACTACTAGTACTTTGCACACAAACAGCGGCGAAAGGCATCATTATATTTCGACGTTGCACACATACTATATTATCCGCGTTCAAGATTTGGAACTGCACGCATTAGAAGCCTATGTCCCTTTTAATGCAGCTGAAAGAAATTTTTTTCTGCCTCAAAGAAAGTAATATATATTTTACAGGAACATTTTCAAATTGATTATCATCACATGTGAAGCCTAACAATACCTGTGGACTGAAACGTCCTCCTCTTCCGTTGACCAAAGAGATCTCCCATGTGAGGATCAGTGTGAGGTCACCACACACACGTGACAAAACTCAAAGGTTAAGATTTACATATCATGATATTTACATATCATGTATGAGGACAATGATTACCTCACAGCTGCCGTGAATGTGATTTTCAGGGTGGCGTCGGGAAATTTCTTCCTGACTGGAATTGTCCGACTAAACAGCGCAATAGCACAATGATCAAACAACACACATATTTTACGGATTCTTTAAGGCGATCAAACATGTTAAAGGAAAGAGTTACTTGAATCCCTATCGATTGACTAAAAGGATTGCATTCGCACTATTTGATTGAGTGTTTCTTCATCCTGCATAGATCCTGATGGCGAGAAGGATGATGAAGACGGTAACCACGACAATGTATATATATATATATATTGTAAAGGTGTGGACGGCGGAATGTAAAATCGAGTAAGGTATGTAAATTTCGATTTTTCTTTGGCACATCTTACTTTTTTCAGGTTACAAATATATGGATGGTATGCAAATATAAACATTTGGGGTTTTAACATTATTCAAATACGATAAACAGTGCCACAATGATGTGGTATTCAGAAAATATTGCTCAGCTATTCTAGGTAAGAGGAAAGGGGATAATCATTTTACATTCGGACAGGGGAGTATGGTTGGAGTTTCTTTCTACAATGTTGGGGGACCTACTTTTCCAGGACATCCATTCAACAATTTAATATTGAGGAATACCAAAAGGCTGAATCATGTCTTTTCAGGATTTGAGGTTGTAAGAAGACATATAAGCAGATCAACCAACTATGTCGTGAATGCGTCGATGTCCACACAATTCAACTATATTCGTTGCACCAAAAAAACGGCGAAAAACATCATTACCTGTCGACTCTGCACCCAAGCGTTGAAAGAGACGTGTTAGGAGCTTTGATCCATTTGTAGATACATACCTATTTGTGTGGCTGAGCATTTACAAGAACAATAAATGTAAATCGGGATCATGAGGGGGTTCTTTCAGCTCTGAGTTATTGTTTAGTTGTTCAAAACTATTTCAATTTGTAAGCAAAAAATATAAAGTAAGTCTGGGTTTATGGATGTTCCCAAGCCTTGAATTGTTAGCAGTAAAATTCGGAGAAGAGGGCGCCCATAAGTATGTCATGTCACTCAAAGTCTGGTGTGGGTTAGCGACGGGTCATACGTGCTCGGCATGGTATTCAGGTCATTGCACTATCTTAGTCATGGGCAATAAACCAACGCGCTTGTTACACCTGGCTATCCAAGTTTTGATTTCAGGGCACGTTGCTAAAACCAGCCGACCAAGCGACTAACAACTTATGAAGGAAGCCATGGGATCATGTTCTGTAATGTGTTTCAGTATTGAACTTTCCCTTTATGTCGAGCAATATTTCTGCAGCTCAAGACTTAAGTGCCTAAATTTCACAACTTTTCAGGTACAATCGAGCACGATCATTCTACCAAGATTTCAAAGAGCGTCGTACGACTCTGGCTCTCAGTCTCAGGAAAGCTTGAAAAAGGTTTCATGGTCGACACGTGGATAGGAGGGCTTCCAGTACTTTTTTCATGTGGACAATTGATTTACCTTTTCATGTGTTTGTGATGGGTGCCAATGTTGGGGCAGGATACTCTCATCTTTTTTGGCAGAGACAGAATGATTTTCGAAATATGTTTTTCAATATAAAAAATGGTTATGATAGAACAAATGCTTAGATCGGTGCTCATGATGTCAGTCACTGGATTGTCTGGTCCAGACTCGATTATTGTCAGACTACCGTCATATACCTGAAATATTGTTGAGTGCGGCGTTAAACAACAAACATACAAACAAATATTACATTTTTCATGACTTGTACTGAATTCTTGTATTTTGGTACACTTGTAGCAGGTTTATGGGCATTTGTGTATCACTTCAGTAACATTCAGTAATTCTTTTTGGGATAAAACGTGAGATATAACGTAAATTGTTTTCAATATTTGATGGAACAAATACATTTTAAATCCAGGCCCTCTCGCAAAAAATAAAACAGTCGGTTCTTCCCCAGTATTTGGCTGCATGAACTTATCTTACTTTTCAGTTTTAAACTGCATTAAGCACACTTAAACAGGCCTATCTTTATCTAGCACGGATCGATCATGCGTTCAACTTCCACATTATTTAACTACTAGTACTTTGCACTCAAAAAGCGGCGAAAGGCATCATTATCTGTCGACCTTGCACACATACTATATTATCTGCATTCAATATTTGGAAATACACGCGTTAGAAGCCTATGCCCCTTTTAGTGCAGCTGAAACGAAACTTCCTCTACCTCAAAGAAAGATATATATATTTTACAGGAACATTGATTATCATCACGTGTACAATCAAATGTTGCACCCCTTGTGGGTATATATATACTCAACAACAAAAGTTCCTGTGACACCAATATTTTAGTGTATTTTTCAAACAAGTAAAGTTTGGTTTTCAATATTGTAGTACATGTATGGAATCACGTCACAAAAACGCAACTGCTACAGAAAAGCATGCATTCCATGCAAAAGTTGACTATTATGCAAGCCCCATGCATTTCACTACCCAAAAATGGGTATAAAAAATATGTGCGTTAACGGGATTTCATATGCATTGTTTAGCATCGTGCTGACAACAACCACTCAGAAAAACAACAAAATGACGCAATTATTCAACATAACGAAGTGCCACACCTGTCCGAAAATAAGCGTCTGCGAGCGAATGGTGTGCTTGAAGCAGGATCGAGTCAACGTGATGTTGCAAGACAATTTAACGTTGGCAAAAGACGAATGCAGTCAGAGACCATCCTCGGAGTGGCAGGCAACTGGATTCGAACAACACACCTACGAAATCGATTCAAGCCAGCAAAAGTGACTGCCAGAAGCATCCCTGGCTTTCGACTAATATCTTCACAAACCGTACTTCGCCGCCTCAGATGTGCAGGGATTGTCCCCAGAAGACCCGTCAGACGTCCCATTTTGACAGGAAACCACCGTCAAGCACGTCTACAGTGGTGCAGACAGCGTCTACGCTGGACGGCCATGCTGTGGGGACAAGTTCTATTCACTGACGAGTCTCGTTTTCACCTCAGCCACAGCGATGGACGGATTCGAGTGTACCGACGTCGGGGTGAACGTAACGTCAATCATTGTGTCATGGAAGAGGATGGGTTCGGGGGCGGCAGCCTTATTGTATGGGGCGGGATTACAGCAAGACAGAGGACCCGTTTGATAGTGGTTTGATGCCTGCAGAGATATGCTCTCTGGTAGTGTATTAGGAACAAATACAGACTGTAACCGTGAACGTTTTATACATGCAAACTGTTAATGGTGTACTATGCATCCTTTGTAGTTAGGCTCAGAACCTTTCAGCCACCCCTCGTACTAATAGCTTACTCGCACGCTGAAATAATTAACTTTTCAAGAAATAGATAATTCATATTTGAAACGAAACACATTGTCTTGGTAAATAAAAAATGTGATTTAATTGTCTTGGTAAATAACTTAAAAGCAATCTGATTTGATTGTCAAGGCAAAAAACAAAGTGAATTGAAACAGTCTTCAATGCTCAGTGATCAAGTCATGCTATGCAACCCGTGTGAAGAAATGTTTCATCATGTTCTGAATCATTTTAGCTAAATTTCATTACAATGTTACATTAATATGTCCGGGCACATTTACAAGCTCTTATCGCCAAAGTATTTAAATGGTAATCTTTTGCAATATCTTGATCCTTGGGGATCTAAATTCTAGCGTCTGAAGTACATGTATGAAGCTTTCAAAGGTCGAAACGCCTGGTCAAAGAGGTCAGAGTTTTGCAGATATCAGGATTTGGATACATATACAGATGGATCTGGATCTGGATACAGATGATGGGAGAAAGTCACAGCCATCCGTGATGACTACTGAGGGGGGACGGATGGCCATGAGGAAAAATGCATCGCAACTGCAACCCTTTGAATGCCTGGATCGTGTGATTCGCCCTGATCTGCACGAGGTTTCGCACTAGCTTCGTTCACCTGATAAAATGTTTATAAATTTGAAGTACATTGGTTACTTATTTGCCCGATAATGGAATGTAATTGTTTGAACAGTTACTGAACACTTACATCTCAACCAATAGGATATTGCAATAAGCACACCTTCAATTAAACCTAGCTTCCTGTACCTACTATAAATCAGTTGGTCATGACTAGGGGCATTTAACTATGAACGAACACAAATAGAACAAAGATTTGTCTATAAATAATAAACCTAAACTTGTCTTTAACTGCTCTGGAGCCATTGTGAAGCATTTGTTACCTGCCATTGTATCCCTCCCATTATGAGCAAGCCGTACAGGTCAAGGTAGTTGGCTATGTTGTTGACGGGCACCTGTCCTACCCATTTACTTCCAAGATTATTCAGGTCCACTGCACTGTGTTGCAGGGCAAACGGGAACGCAATGACCTGTGTGAAGCAGCAAGATGATAAAGTCATTACCTGACCAACATCAAGAATAATTATATGGAATATAACCCTCGGTAAATACTTTTATAAAGAAGGACGTCCTTGTCATATATAAAACATGCTACCAATGCCTTTATCACATGCTACAACTTATAGTTACATGATGACACGAGACTGTGTACAAAATATCAGCGAGCCAATGGCTGAGTAATCCCTGAGTGACAAGGGTGATCTGCACGAAATCTTCCTGGCACGGAATACACTTCATTATTTCAAAATGTCAGCCATAATGCTGGCTATGGTATCGATAATTAATTGATTAGTCTATACATTCATTTGTTCTATTTCATGACATAAAATACATGTTGTAGCAGGTGATAATAAATCCATTTTTAATCCAATCACATTGTACATTCCAAATCCCCAAAGGCACCAATGTGAGCAATTTTGTCCTAGCTTGTAATTAGATTCGTTGGTAAACCACCCAGACAGATAAATCATGTTTGGCAACTTGTATCAAAGTGGAAATTGGAAGAGAA